TTGACTGCTACAAGATACTAACCATCTGAGCCTTCAGTGAGTCATAGTAGTAACATCAAAGATCACTGATCACAGATCCACAATGCAAATATAATAATGAAAAACCTTTAAATATTGCAAGAATTACCAAAATGTGAAACTGAGACATGAAGTGAGCAAATGCTATTGGAAAAATGGAGTGGATAGACTTGCTAGACTCGGGGTTGCCATAAAAAAACAAAAAATGCATTATCTATAAAACAATAAAAAAAGCTAAGTGCAATAAAAGGTGTTCCTGTACTCGGTAACTTACATGGCATAAAGTCCAACAAAGGGAAGAATGATAATTGCTCAATGTGTAATTCTGCCTATTTGTACTACTAAGCCAAGACTTTGATAGATAATCCACTCATTTGGATTACGTTTCTATGTATGTGATCTGATCAACCAAAAAATTCGGTACAAAATGTCAAGCTTTTTCCTTTTTTTCTTTGAAGGGCAGCTCAATGGTTTGGGGTTGGTTAGTACAATACAGAGAATACAGAGGATACTTATAAAATGTCTCTAACACCAATGCCAGTACTCATCTCATAAGTAAGGATATTATTAATTTTTGTGTTATTCACTTTTCTTTAGAAAATAAAGTCATTAACTTGAACTTGCTGTATACACACAATACATACACAGCCTTATGCAAAATACTTTTCATAAGTAACATTACATTTTAAAATACTGGAAACCGAATATCTGTGATCTGCATTTTGACTTAGTGGGAAAAGAAGAGAACATTCAACTAGGGAGGATTATACTGATAATAAGACTCAAAGTTAAAAGTGTCTTCCTCTCCCCCTCTCCCTTTGTACTTAACACAGCTTATACAATGTCCTGAGAGATTCATTATGAGAAAAATGTCCATCACAGCTTTAAAACCTTGCTTTGGAAGGAACTAATGAGAAAGCAGATTGGAAGGTGAGACTTCATCTTTGTTTTCAAAGAAGTGGTCTTAATTTTTCTTCTTATAGAAAAAGTTTAAATCGGTTCATTGTAAATATATCTAAACTATTTTTGCAGTTTTCAATTATACAAAAGCTATGAGAAGAGGGCAGTAGAGATCATCTAATCTTAAATCATGATGTCATCCATTCAAGTCCTTGGCATAATCCCTGGTCAGTAATAGCACAGAATACCTGTATATGCCACAAATGATCTTTAATATATATCAGAAATTATTTTCAAAAACTGGGAGATTTCTACTATAGCCATGCATTCTTTAACATCTTGTTCATTTGCAAAAATCAGCAATGCAGCTTTCCTTAGGTCTTCATGGGCTAACATTTTATAGAGCTCCTCAGTTACAGCAATCCTTTCTCTGTACTGTCCACAACAGTTATTACAAATTCTGTTAGTGTAAGAAGTGTTCCCGGAAGAACGAAGAGACTCTTGGCCACCAGTATCCCACATTATGAAATGTGTATTATTAATCACTATTTCTTCTACATTGCTTCCTATTGTAAGGGATGCATATACAACTTCATTCACAGAAAACTGGTAAAGGATGGTGGTTCTCTCTGCATTACGCAGTCCAACAATGATAAGTATGTGCTCCTGGTGGTTGAACAGTCTCCCTATCCTGGTGAAGAGAATACACATTCTTAGGCAGCAGGGCCCCTCCAGCCACCAGGACCACCTGGCCTCTCCCACTCAGGCAGAAGGGAAGGCAGAGATGCGCCAGAGCCTCAGCCTCTTCCTTGGAACTGGAGAGAGACCAAAGCCCAGGCCACAGATATTGGCAGATATTTTCTCAAAAACAAGTGAGTTTGGGAAAAAATCTGGTATTAGTTGTCAAAGATAAAATTCAAGCTTTCAAATGAAAATTACAATTTTGGAAAGCTTGTATCTGTCACTGTGCACTTACACCTTCTCCATACTTAAAGACTTAGGATGAGATCAGTCATGATGTTAATCAATGTGATTTTTTAGATATTGTTTAATGAAATTTGTCAACACCTGGACGATCTGCATAATTCAGTGATCCAATATTTTTCAAATGATCAATGTGCAGTGTTACAAAACCATGCATAACACAGTTGTATTCAAAATATAAGACAGACCAATGGATTTTAGAAATATGATTTCTAAAATATGATTTCAGATTACACATTGCAACTAACCTCTAAGAAACTTGTCAAGTTTTGGTGTAGTATTAAAGAAGAATATCCATAATTTTCAGAGAAGGCTATTAAAATACTCCTTGCTCTTCTAACTTCATATTTATGTGAGACCAAATTTTCTTCAGCTATTTCAACCAAAACAACATATCACAACAGATGGAATGCAGAATCAGATATGAGAATCCAGTATCTTGTTAAACCAGAAATCAAAAAGATCTGCAGAAACAATGTCACTCTTCTCACTAATTTTTGTTTAGGAAAATAATTAATTTAAAAATAAAAATTACTATTTTTGCTAGCATGTAATGGGTTAAGTCTTAATCTTAAATTTTAATTCCTGCTACAATAAAAGAGCTATATAGAACTCTTTGGGATCCTCAATTTTTAGAGTGTAAGTAGTCCTGAGACCAAAATGTTTGAGAACTGCTATTCTAGGTAAAGATACAGGAGCCTAAAGAGGTTAAATGACTGGGTCAAGGTTGCATAACTAGGGAGTGTTAAAGCCAGGAATTAAATCCAGTTATGTCCAACTCAAGTTATTTCTACTAAGTCCATCGTCTTAAACACAGAAGACTGACTTAGAAGTGCATTTAATGTATGCCTTATGTGTGCAATTATTATACAGGTATCCCATCTAATATTTTTATTGTGTACTGGTTATTTCTCCTGTCATGAAATAACTCACTTTCCATGAAACGAGATAAAAGTATCCTTAAAGTGGCATCTTTAGGATGAGTTAGGCTTAACAAAAAATCAGCAGCAAGGAATGTGATCAGTGTCACAGTTCTGGTTCTTCAGATACGGGGACTCTGGGAAAAGACAGTGCATCTGTATAGATGCATTGTTTTATTCCGCCAAAGCCCATGAGCATAAAATGACATAAAAGCCAAAGCACACAAGCATAAAACGTCACACTCATCATCTAACACATCTCTTCCCAACAAGGAGAAATTGCTCATAAGACAAAGCTCTCTTGAAGCCAATAATAACTATCGATATTGTAGCTGGCAGTTGCTTACCTTGTTTTTAAAACTTGCAACATAGAATAAATCTAAATTCCCTAGGAGGCTGGGGAGATTGGACTTGGAACTTAAACCTGGCTTACAGTTTACAATTAGTTTGTGTGTTCCAAAACCCTGGTTGTGTTGTTTCCAACTTTATCAGTAACTAGGTTCTTTATTTTTGAGAAAATATTTAATTAATGGGAATTCCCTGACAGTCCAGTGGCTAGGACTCCACGCTTTTACTTCTGAGGGCCTAGGTTCAATCCCTGGTCAGGGAACTAAGATCCCGCAAGCTGCGCGGTGTGGCCAAAAAAAAAAAAATTAGTGTCATTTCCCTGGATTTCAGAATAAGCTTTTTTTTTTCCTGACAGGCAGGACTGAAGAAAAGCTGAGTGATGCCCAAAGTGACTAGATCTCTGTGATGCCAACACGAGATTGTATGACATCTGGGGACTTGGGGCCTTTGGTGTCTGTAGCCCAAAAAATATTCTCTGGATTTTGGGTATCTTCTGTAACTCTCATTTCCAGGATAGAAAGACAATATTTTGGTCAGAATTAGGTTCTAAACAGTGAATAGTAAATTTATTATATTTAGAAACTAGGTAATGCAGATGTGGGGTAAATGAATGTAAAGTTGCATTTTCTTACCTAATAAAGGGCATCTCTAGAAATTCCCTCCACTGAGAAAGGGTAGGCAGAGTTGGATGCCTTTCTCACCATAAGAACTCTGCCAGCAAGAATTTTCTGGCTCCAGAGTACATCCACAAATGGGGAGAGACTGGGTTAAAGGACAAACTTTAGGGAAAAGCTCCACCTAATGGCATCAGTGAAGGTCTCACTCTTCACAGCCTATTGAGCATCACAAATTAGATCTGGAAGCAAAGCTGATTTTATTTTCAAACAGAAAGATTGTAGTATCGAACTGCTTACAGCACTGAGAAAAATAGGCTGGAATATAAGACTGATATTTGGTGTTTATAAATTGTAAATCAAAAGAATGTCAAGGCAAAAGTGAAGATAAAGTAGAAAAGAACAATGTCATTAATCAAGGCCTTATTCCCATTTTATAATTACTAATTAATTATAAGCCTTTATTTGTGTCAACAGAACGTATAAGAAAATCACAATGAGTTTCAGTGTTCACTTTTCTACATTTGAGGTTGGTTTAAGGTCAATTAATATTTTCAATTACTTATAATTGAGGGAAAGTGTTATTCAGGGATTAATGATTATTTTAAAAAACAGAATTTTAAGCAGAATACTGATTAATGAAATTACTGTTTTCTTTTTACCACAGATGTCAGTTTTGTTTAACCTTAAACTATAAAATACATAGATATATCTGTATACTGTTTACAGATGGATAATATCATCATCTTGCATTTAAGTAATGCTTTAAAATTTTTCAAAGCATTTTTACTCACACTATCTTCCACATATATTATCTCCTAGGATTCTGGCAAGAAGAGGCCAGTGAGGGAGCCAGGGCAAGTACTGTTTACATTTCACACATGCAGGAAGGGACGCTAAGAGAGGTTTATACAACTTGCAAGGTAAAGCACTGATTAAGATTTTGTGACTTTTATTTCAGTGATTTTTTACTTTATATCATGTTGCTTCTCCCTATATTATGTTGATAGCTGAAATGTCATTATCCAGCTTACTTTATAGGATTCTCTTGATGAGGCTGGTTGAACTGACCCCTCCCATCAACGGACCAGTCTAAAGGGGCAAGAATCTTCCCACATTTCACATATGGTTTGATTACCTCTGTCCTAAGAGAACGATCTACTATCTGGGTATGAAAAACATGATTAGAAAACACTATGCCATTATGTTACTCTGTCAAAGAGCCATGTTTCACACCTCTCCAAGTAAAAAGAAACTTCAAAAAAGTCCCAAATAAAATAATCCTAATAATGCACCTTTTATCTGTTTCTTCATTGAGGTGAAGAATGTTGCCTGGATTCCTTTCATTTAAAAACTTGAAGTCAGATCTGTGGCTGAACTCCAGATCTGATTTTAACCTTGGGGAAGCAAAGAGGACAAAACTCAAAAGCTCAACTTTCTGGATGGCATGGATGATTCAATGAACTCTTTTCTGTTTCTGAGTCTGTTGGCCAGGAGACCTGGATATGATAGGGCTTCAGTTCCTCAGGCGGGATAGAATCTGGGGCATTGCTCATAAGGTCATGCCCCTGGAAAGATTTGGGGAAGGCTATGACATCTCTGATGCTTGGCGCTCCAGTGACAAGGCACATCAGTCTGTCTAATCCTGTGAAATACAAAGTTAATAGATGAGAATGTAACCTAAGGTTGGGGGTGACTTAATTTTTCTATAAAGGTTGTAGAAAACTTTTAAGTAAGAACCTTTAATAAGTTGCAGCTAAGCATAGTTCCCTGCCTTTTTAGAGAACTTCTGTTTGTATGAGAGGTTTCTTTTATCTCATTCCAGAAAAGTGCTCAGGACTAATATTCACACGCTACTGGGATTAATAGTCACAGCAATTAATGAGTCCTGAGCAAGGGCTTACTGAAGGTTGAACAAAATTAGGTGCTGTGCAGGGGACTCCAAAAACACAGAAGGAAGTCTCCATTGTTGAGAGCCTACAATCTAGGTAAGCTACCTAGAACTTTTCACACTCTTCCTTGTTTGATAAAACAAGCAGTGTGAGCAACCAAGGCCATCAGAAAGGCACTGGCCACTCAAAAAAATTATTGGCGTATAGTTACTTTACAATGTTGTGTTAGTTTCTGCTGTATAGAAAAGTGAATCAGTTACATGTATACATATATCCCCTCTTTTTTAGATTTCCTTCCCATTTAGGTCACCACAGAGCATTGAGTAGAGTTCCCTGTGCTATACAGTAGGTTCTTATTAGTTATCTATTTTATACATAGTAGTGTATATATGTCAATCCCAGTCTCCCAATTCATCCCACCCTCCCCTTCCCCGCTTGGTATCCATACGTTTGTTCTCTACGTCTGTGTCTCTATTTCTGCCTTGCAAATAAGTTCATCTGTATCGTTTTTTCTAGTTTCCACATAAGAACCTACTGTACAGCACAGGGAACTCTACTCAATGCTCTTGTGGTAATCTAAATAGAAAGGAAATCCAAAAAAGAGGAGATATATACATAGCTGATTCACTTTGCTGTATAGCAGAAACAAACACAACATTGTAAAGCAACTATACTCCAATAAAAGTTAATTAAAAAAAAAAGGCACTGGCATATTCCTACTTTCGCACAAGCTGAATACTATGGAGCAGTACTTTTCACACTCTTATGAGTTTGTGAGCCTCCAGGGATTTGAGCAATATTGACTTAAGACTCTGTAGTTTCATTCTATTAAAAAATCTTTCAAATGCAAATGATCAGTTAAGTTTTATCTTTATAAATGGTTAAATATATTTTTAAAGTATATCATCAGGGAATTCCCTGGTGGTCCAGTGGTTAGGACTTGGTGCTTTCACTGCTGAGGGCCCGGGTTCAATCCCTGGTTGGGGAACTAAGATCCTACAAGCCACATGGTGCAGCCAAAAAAAAAAAGTCATCAAAATGAAAAACACCAAATTAAATTCTTTAGAACCCTTGGGCTCACCCCCTACCCTCTTTACTCCTCCACTCCCCCTAACCCCACCCTCTTTCCCATAAGCTGAGCATCCAAATTTGACACTTAGAGCTACAGAATTAAATTTAGCTTGTAAAAGGACAGATTGTTTACCTATGGCAATTCCTCCATGAGGGGGCGCCCCATAATCTAAAGCCTGGAGCAGATGGGAGAGCAATTTCACGTCTTCCTGCAGTTCAAAAGATAATTGAATTTAAATACACACTGAGGGTCCACTAGGTGCCACACAATACAATTAGTTGCTAAAGGGAAAATAAAAGTTGAGTTAAAAAAGTTCCTTAAGAGGTTTACAGTTTAGCAAGAGAATATGACAAATCACCGATACTACAACATGCAGGGAAATGCCTGGGGCTCAGTAAATGCAGCTATTATTATGCTGGTAATGCAGACAGGGTAAGACCAATTAAGGACTTGGAGATGTGGCCTCAGAAAGGTAGGATGAAAGAAGGAACTGGATCTGTCAGGATCTGTCAGAGGGACCAAGAGGAGAGAACGTTATTAGAAGGGCAACAGTGCAGATGCTGCCAGAAGGTAGGATGGCTTGTGGGCCAACAACAGACCGCTGGATTTGGTGACCGTGCAAGTTACTTTTGTGAGGCAATGCCTGTAGAAATGTTGAAAATGTGTCTGAAATGGTTCCCTAACCAGTCTACAGATCACAATCAAGTGGCAAGCTTTTAAGAAACAAATGCCCAAGCCTCACGTCTAGAGCTTTATTTAATTGGTCTGGTAAGGAGAAGTGAGTATATTTTTGTTTGTTTGTTTTTAATGCTTTCCAGGTGATTCTGTTCTAATGTGCAGAAGGGCTGAGAAACACTGGTGGGTAGGGAAGAAGTGGAAGCAATGTATTCTCACTGACATTTTGAGAAGCTTGAAAGGAATGAAAAAATAGGCTGGGAAACATTAGGGGCTTTGGCTTAAGAGGAGAAAAGTTAAGGGAGTTTGCAATGTTTTTAAAGCTAAAAGGGGAGTTTGGTGTAGAGTTCTCCAATCCTATTCTTAGAAATAAAGTTTCTGGGACTTACCTGGTGACGCAGTGGTTAAGAATCCGCCTGCCAATGCAGGGGACACGGGTTTGAGCCCTGGTCCGGGAAGATCCCACATGCCGCGGAGCAACTAAGCCCGTGTGCCACAACTACTGAGCCCGTGAGCCACAACTACTGAAGCCTGTGTGCCTAGAGTCATGCCTCGCAACAAGAGAAGCCACGGCAATGAGAAGCCCGTGCACAGCAATGAAGACCCAATGCAGCCAAAAATAAATACATAAAATAAATAAATTTATAAAAAAAAAAAAAGAAAGTTCCTCTATCCCACCTCACCCCTGTTAGCTAATCCCACAAAATGATCTTTTAGGATCAGACTCTTGGACATTTGCCTTCCTAAAATCTATCCTAGCCTCCTAAAGAGTCATCAACAAACTGCAGATTCTTAGGCTTGCATCTGTAGAGACTCTTCTTTTGAAAATTCTGATTAATCCACTCTCTGTCATTAAAATTTACCCCCACCTCAAATACTAAGTGACATAAAATCCTTTCAAACCTTTCTCTCTTTCTCTAGCATTATCAACATTTTCAGTCATTTCAGACTGCATCCTTTTTTGAGCAGTGCAGTGGTTAGGAGTTTAGGAGCTTGGGTTCAAGAACCAACCTTCCTGGATTCGAATCCTGGCTCTGCTTCTGTGCTGTGTGACTTTGGGCAAATTAATTCATCTGCCTCAGTTTCTTATCTTTAAAATGAGTAGAATAAAGGCCTTAATTTAAAAAGTAACTGTGAGGGACTTCCCTGGTGGCGCAGTGGTTAAGAATCCACCTGCCAATGCAGGGGACATGGGTTTGAGCCCTGGTCTGGGAAGATCCCACATGCCATGGAGCAACTAAGCCCGTGTGCCACAACTACTGAGCCTGTGTCTAGAGCTCGCAAACCACAACTACTGAGCCTGTGCTCTAGAGCCCACGAGCCAAAACTACTGAAGCCCATGTGCCTAGAGCCTGTGCTCTGCAACAAGAGAAGCCACCGCAATGAGAACTCCGTGCACCACAGCGAAAAGTAGCCCCTGCTCACCACAACTAGAGGAAGCCCACGTGCAGCAATGAAGACCCAATGCAGCCAAAAAAAAAAAAAAAAAAAGTAACTGTGAGGATTAAATGTGTCCATGTGTATAAGGTACCTAGTGCCTGGCATGTAGTAGTCACTAAAAAATACATATTATTATTTATTTTTCAAAGTCTAACACTAAAGGTAGAGAAATAAGCTGATACTATTCTATATCTAGTGAATCCTCCATTCATAACAAATTTTAACAAAACAAATATTACAGTATTTTACAAAGGCCAACTTAGAAGATGATGTTACCTTTAGTACTGTTGCCAGGATGTAATGCTGTAGCTCTGCATCATGAATTCGGATAGAACCACCTCCTATCTCACTGCCGTTTAAAACCAAGTCATAGTGTTGGCTACGGACCTAGAAGATTCAAAGAGCCTTTATGTTAGAGAAAATCTCTGGTTTTCTGTTCTGTACGTTGAAGACCCTGTAGCTACTTAGAGACAATGGCTTAAACCCAGCAATTTCTTCTGGGGCTTCCAGAACTGGGTCAGACTATGAAACCTGAAGTTCTTTGCCTTGTTTCCATATTTCCTTTTAATTTGGAAGTATAGATATGTTACCTTTTGGGGCTCAGTGTAAAGATGGTGGATGTCACTGGGGTGGGGAGCAGTAAATGGGTGATGGGCTGTCTCCAGCTCTTTGGGATTTTCCTCCTTGGGAAAGAAGAGGGGGAAATCCACAACCCAAAGGAAAGAGAACAAAGCTGGGTCACGAAGCACCACTCCTCTTGCTTCTAGAAGATCAGCACACTCTAGTCGTAATTTTCCCAACAAAGAGCACTGCAAACAGAAGATACAAACGTTGAGCTAACTGCTGTGACAGAGTAGGCAGAAAATGACACAACATGGATTCTAAAGCCAGGCCTTTCTCTGAGAAAGGATTAGCCAATTTACAGATGAGATGCTCTTAGCCTCTCAGGAGAGAAAGATCTGAGGAGGATCTGACTGCGACATGGTTGAGAATCATCAGACTCAGCTGACTTGGTGAGTATCTGCCAACACAGTGACTGAGAACACAGGTATCAGAGCTTGATTAACCTGGGTCTGTATCTCACTTTGGCTACTGACTAACTTCTCTGCACCTTTTTCCATAGTAAAATGGAGATAGAAATATCTACTCCAAAGACTGTTGTGAAGATCAAGTCAGATAAGCTCTGTAATACGAACCAGCTATTATGATTATTATTTCCTTACTGTTCCTGAAGGGTTGTGGTGAGGAACTGATGAGAGCCTGGAACACACTTAATGTTCAATAATGTTGGCTGTTATTAGACAGACAGTATGGATTAGAGGTTACATTAAGAAGGTGACTTCTGGACCTGGACTTTGTGGGTTAGAAACCTGGCTCCTCTCCTCTACCTCCTAGCTGTGTGAGTGTGAACAAATTCTCAACCTCTGTGCCTCAGTTTTCTTATCTTTTAAAATGGTAACAGTATCAATACTTCTCTCAATAGGGTTGGCATGAGGATTAAGTTAGTTAATATACACCAAGTACTTGAAAGAGTTGTGGGCAAACAGAGAGTGCTAACTGTGATAAGTGCTAATGATGACAGGCAGGGCATCCCTGAGAAAGGGCAATTAGAACAGGAGACATGCCTGCAGACATGCACAGGGTGTCACTCTGTAGCCTATTCTATCTGACACGTAGATATCCACAAAGGGCACCTTCACTGTGACATATTCAGAATGCTAATGTTATTCCTCGTAAATCTGCTTTCTAGTATTCTCTCAAGGAAGTCCCAATAGGAATTGGAGTGATGCCTTTCTGGGAAGAGAACAGGAGCAGTTTTAGTTCATGCCAGGGGAAAGTTTAATAGCCAAATGAATTTGCAGCAGGATTTTTAATACAAAATCCCAAATTCTTTTTTAAGAAATGCATTGACAATAAAATTTGTAATTAACTGGTACATCCCCCAGCAAATTTAACAGTACTGGCTCATGGCTGGTATTAAAAACTAATGTTGATAAATGAATTAATTAAAAAAAAAAGACTGTAGGGAATTCCCTGGTAGTCCAGTGGTTAGGACTCCATGCTTCACTTCCGAGGGCCCAGGTTCAATCCCTGGTCGGGGAACTAAAATCCCACAAGCTGCGTGGCGTGGCCAAAAAAAAAAAGAGAAGGGTGTAATATCAAGAAAAGTTGTAATTACATAGCTTTCCTCACTCTACTATTGCAGGGAAAGGTAAGGACAGTGGATTATATTTAGCTTTGTAGCCAAACTCTGAAACTTTTCCTTTGGAAGATATAATGATAAATAGGCACAGTGCAAATATAAATTAGAAGAATGAACTTGATAAAGTACTAATCAGACACTATAAGGATATCATATTATACTATAGTGTAAGGATGAATTTTTATTTATTTATTTATTTTTGGCTGCGCCCCATGGCTTGCCGGATCTTAGTTCCCCAACCAGGAACTGAACCCGGGCCCCGGCAGTGAAAGTGCCGAGTCCTAACCACTGGACTGCCAGGGAATTCCCAAGGATGAATTTTTATCATGTTTGATCTTTACAGTATATTTTCAATATTCATGTTTGAGTTTTATACCACACTTTGTATATTTTATAATGATCTCTAAAGTTAAATCCATTGTTCCATACGTCTCCTGAAGAATGGTGATTTAGCCAGTGCATGGCAGCCTGCACCACCTCCCAGCTGCTGCTCCTGAGGAAAAAGGGTACTGCCTCAACCAAGTAGGGCCAGGGGTGTCTGCCAGCCCAGCAGCCCTCCAGCAGTCTGACCTGTCCCTCCACATTTTCAGGAATGCAATATGTACAAAAGTTTGGGACAACCAACTTTTCTTAATCTGTAAAACTTCAAAAATTAAAATATTTTTTCACAGTTGTACAACGTATACCAATAGCTCTCTACCTAAGTGGCTTTCCTAGAGCCAGATCTAATCGCTGTGAGCAATGCCAATGTAGGCTGTTAGCTGATGAAAAAAACTCGTTTTTATACAGTGCATTTTATTACAGTGCCAAAAGATATAAAAACTCATGCAGAGCAGCTCCAATTTATGAAATTAACAGTCAATTTCAAATATGTACTATACACACAGAAGAAGAGAGGCACCATTCAGCATCAACAGCACAGATGCCAGGAGGTAATGTTGCTTACTGCTTTCTTATGCTCTCCGGCAGTTAGCAGGACCACATCCTCCTCTTGGGTCTCCAACAGTCTGATTAGTCCCAATCCTTGCTCCTCCATTATGAATTTAGCAACTGGAGAATTCCAGTTGTTATTGGTTTTCAAAAATATAGGTAAGACTTCCTGTGACAAAGAAAAAGACTTATACATTTTTCAAAAAGCAGGGTTGATTTATTTTTCCTGGAGTACCAAGATTTCTGGTTTCCAAAAGAAAATGAACCTACATGAGATTATCTCTATTCCCTCTCTGAAGCCCTTCAAAACGATACTAAAGGAATCTAAAAATTAATCTCACCAAAATGAAAAAAAAAAAAAAAAAAGGAATGAAGGGTGAGAAGGGATATCAGAGCGAAGAGATTTCTGAAAATTTTTGGCAGGTTGCAGGCTAGTGGAATAGGAATGACCAAAGAAGCAAGATGCAGGAAGCTCTGGCCTAGAGAACAATGGAGCAGCTTCAGCACAGGAAGGAACTGATCTTACCTTGCAAAATCCTAGAGGTGCAGGGCTCTTAAGAAGAGCCCTGGGGTGATAACCAACTGTCTTGTTGCTCACCCAAAACTAAACCTAACCATTTACAAAACCTAACGATTTACAAAACCATTTACAAAACCTAACCATTTCTAAACCTAACCATTTACAAAAGCCCCTTTAAACAGCTTTTTAAATGGCTCATATTCTTAAATATGTACAATTAACAATCACATCACTATACACTGAAGAAGCTACAGCATTAAAAAAAAAAAGAAAAAAAGACCCAGATAAACAGAAAAAAAAAAATGACCCTAGAGAAAAGAGATAATTTAGGGACCAAAAAACTTGAATCCTCAAAGATATTAAAAAAGGTATTTTATCAGTAAGACCAGAATAAAATGCAATGAAAAGAAGCAAGAAAGAGCTAGTGGGAAATAAAAATATGATTGCTTTAAAAAAAAAAAAAAAAAAACAAGAGTTGAAGAAATCTCCCAGAAAGAATAAAAAAGACAAATTTTCCACAGATGAAAGACATGAGCCTTCATATTCAAAGGGCCCTTCAAGTGTGCAACACACTGAATGAAAAATGACTCAAAGTTATATAGACTGTGAAATTTCAGAGCATCGGGAATCAGGAGGCTGAAAGCTTCCAAAGGGAAAAAAAAATTAGGTTTACTATAAAAGAATAAATTCATACAAACATGACTTCTTATCAGTAACAGTAGGTATAAAAAAATAAAGCAATGCCTCCAATGAGCTAAGGCTCACTGTCACATGCAGCTCTTTAAATTTAAAGTAAAATGAAATAAAATAAAAAATTCAGTTCCTCAGGTATATATTTGCCACATATCAAGCATTCAATAGCCACACTGGCTGGTGGCTACCATAGTGGACAATGCAGATATGAAACAGTTCCATCATTGCAGAAGGTCTACTGGACAGCACTGTTCTAAAGGGATATGACTACCAATTCAGAATTTTATACCAAGCCAAATTATTAATCAAGTTTGAGGTTTTGAACACAAAGACATTTTTAGACATATAAGGATTCAGAAAGTTTCTCTTTCACATGCTGTCTTAGGAAGTTACTTGAGGATATAATCCAGCACTAGTAAGAAAGAGGAAGATCTGGGATCCAGGAAAAGAGTAGCTTCAACTCAGAAGAGGAATGAAGAAAATGTCCAGAAAGACAGCTGTGAAGAGGCACAGAGTAACTAGGTAAGGCCTGTGTATGTGAGCCTTACCTCTCATTGCAGGAGGTACGATGCAAGGTTTAAAATGGATAAGTAGGGGCTTCCCTGGTGGCACAGTGGTTAAGAATCTGCCTGCTCATGTAGGGGACACGGGTTTGAGCGCTGGTCCAGGAAGATCCCACATGCCTCAGAGCAACTAAGCCCGTGCACCACAACTACTGAGCCTGTGCTCTAGAGCCCGCAAGCCACAACTACTGAACCCATGAGCTACAACTACTGAGGCCCGCGGGCCTAGAGCCTATGCTCCACAACAAGAGAAGCCACTGCAATGAGAAGCCCGCTTACCACAAGGAAGAGTAGCCCCCACTTGCCGCAACTAGAGAAAGCCTGTGTGAAGCAACAAAGACCCAACACAGCCAAAAATTAAAAAAAAAAAAGGCATTCTAATAAAAACAGAGGTACTCTGGTATGGGACTGGAATAGGGTGAGCTACAGTAAACACTTATTGTATTGAACTATTAATCCTTCTTTACTATTTGTTTTTTTTTTTTAAACCATGTACATGCAGCATATTGCTAAAAATAAACATTAAAAACAATTCAAGCCAAATCAAGTTAAAACATATTAATACATTTTAAAAATATAAAAATTCAGGAAATTAGGAAAGTAAAAAAGAAAAGAGGAGAAGAAAGAGAAGAAGAAGAAAATGTAGTAATAGTCCCATCAACTAAAGGCTGCCAAAGTTAACTCTCAGGCTTATTTCGTGTTCCTGTGGTTCCTAAATACAGGTTTCAAACACTAGTAAAATAAAAACAAAACTGGGAGATATAGGGTTGACAATTTTGAATTTTGTCAAAGGCATAAAATGAACCCCAAATATCTACTATTACCATCATTTCATAAAAGAAAACACATTTCTATAGCAAAAAATGAGAAGTATAATCCTTTAAATTCATTTAACTTAATGAAAACCTTTTTATACCCCTGGCTTTTCTTATTTTGCCTTGACCCATTTTGGAAACCATTATCCTTATATTTTCTTGAAAAATCCCTTTGAACTTGATGTATGAGACTTGTGATGTGTGGTAGTAGAGGTGGGTAGTCCATTTTCTTTTTTATTCCTCTCTTTTTTTAAAAAAATTGAAGTATAGTTGATTTACAATATTGTGTTAGTTTCAGGTGTACAGCAAAGTGATTCGGTTATTCATATATATTTATTTTTTTATTCTTTTCTGTTATAGGTTATTACAAGATACTGACTATAGTTCCCTGGGCTATACAGTACATCACTGTTGCTTATCTAGTTTATACATGGTAGTGTGCATTTGTTAATGCCAAACTCCTAATTTATCCCTCCCCCACTTCCCCTTTGGTAACCATGTTTGTTTTCTATGTCTGTGAGTCTGTTTTTTGGTAAATAAGTTCATTTGTATTTATTAGATTCCACATATAAGTGATATATTTGTCTTTCTCTGACTTACTTCACTTAGTGTGATAATCTCTAGCTCCACCCATGTTGCTGCAAATGGCATTATTTTGTTGTTCTTTTATGGCTGAGTAATATTCCATTGTGTGTGTACACACACACCCCCCACATCTTTATCCATTCATCTGTTGATGGATACTTAGGTTGCTTCCATATCTTGGTTATTGTAAATAGTGCTGCTATGAACACTGGGGTGCATGTATCTTTTCAAACTAGAGGTTTGCTCTTTTCTGGATATATGCCAGGAGTGTGATTGCTGGATCATATGGTAACTTTATTTTTAGTTTTTTAAGGAACCTCCATACTGTTCTCCATAGTGGCTGCATCAATTTACATTCCCACCAACAGTGTAGGAGGGTTTCCTTTTCTCCACACCCTCTCCAGCATTTATTATTTGTAGACTTTTTTTTTTCTTTGCGGTACGCGGGCTTCTCACTGTTGTGGCCTCTCCCGTTGCGGAGCACAGGCTCCGGACGTGCAGGTTCAGCGGCCATGGCTCACGGGTCTAGCCGCTCCGTGGCCTGTGGGATCTTCCCGGACTGGGGCACGAACCCGTGTCCCCTGCATCGGCAGGTGGACTCTCAACCACTGTGCCACCAGGGAAGCCCTCATTTGTAGACTTTTTGATGATGGCATTGTAGTTTTGGTTTGCGTCTGTCTAATAATTAACGATGTTGAACATCTTTTCATGTGCCTATTGGCCATCTGTGTGTCTTCCTTGGAGAAATCTCTATTTAGGTCTTCTGCCCATTTTTTGACTGTGTTGTTTGGTTTTTTGATATTGAGTTGTATGAGCTGTTTGTAATTTTGGAAATAAAGCCCTTGTTGGTCACATCATTTGCAAATATTTTCTCCCAGTCTGTAGGTTGTCTTGTCTTGTTTATGGTTTCCTTTGCTGTGCAAAAGCTTATAAGTTTGGTTAGGCCCCATTTTTTTCTTTTTGCTTCTATTTCTTTTGCCTTGCGAGACTGATCTAACAAAGTATGACTATGATTTATGTCAGAGAACGTTTTGCCTATGTTCTCTTCTAGGAGTTATATGGTGTCATGTCTTATATTTTAAATCTTTAAGCCATTTTGAGTTTATTTTTGTGTATGGTGTGAGGGTGTGTTCTAACTTCATTGATTTACATGTGGCTGTCCAGCTTTCCCAACACCACTTGCTGAAGAGACTGTTTGAGTAATCCATTTTCAATCCACAAATACAGTGTTTATACCTGGTTATGATCAGTGAATATATAGTTCTGTATTCTCCTTTTCCTACAAATCATTAAAACCTGAACATTTTTCCTACATTATAAACTTTTAGTTAAGAGGCAAAATTTTTAAAAGGAACTTTAACATTTATTCCTTTAATTCTACCTTAATTTATTTAATCACACCCATATGGTTTCATTTTATTCCTGTAAATGATACTGTGCATAAGTGTCCTCATATCTAAGATCCTTTCTTTAAAGTATAGAAAATTATTGACTCAAAGGATCATATTTTAAAGTATGACTATTTTTAAAGTTAGTGATTCCAAAATGGCTGAGGTAATTTATACTTCCAGTGACAGTGTAAGAATGCCCATTTCCTGCTCCTCCTTCGTATTTTAGTGCTACTGTTCACAAAGCCAAGAACACAAAGTGTATCTGTCAAAGGAAAGGTATATTCATAATTCTAAAAAGGGTATGGGAAGAACAATGAATACTGGCTTTCTTTCATACCTGCCATGCTTTCATTTAAACCTTGGGCACATGGGGCTCTATTTAATTTTCCCAACTGCATTAAAGTACCACTGTTTATTTTAAAAGGCTATGGTTGAACTTTCACATTCTGATTAATGGTGAATTCAACTAAGTTGAAGTTTTGGAGTTATACCCAGGGGTAAGATTAACTTTAAAAATAAAAAGAAGAAAAGTAGAATGATCTGAAATAACAAGCCCCTCAAAACTAATGATAGCATAAGAGCTCAAGCAATTAACAGTTAAAAATATAGAATCCCTAAAAGAAAGGAAAAAACCTGCTCCTTACCTGATTAAAATGGTCAGCTGCAAATTTTCTAATGGACTCAATGTCTTTCCTTTTTAAGTATTTCTGATGAAAGAAAGAGTGAACTCATCAGTATGACACTTAGCTTCACAAACATGTTTATGAAATGAAATGGGAAACAAGTATATTTTGTGTTTTTCCATCACAATAATAAGATTCAATAAAGATTTAATTTCTGTTGTCAAATGACAAAATTTTTTTTTTTTTTTTTGCGGTATGCAGGCCTCTCACTGTTGTGGCCTCTCCCGTTGCGGAGCACAGGCTCCGGATGCACAGGCTCAGCGGCCATGGCTCACGGGTCTAGCTGCTCCACGGCATGTGGGGTCTTCCCGGACCGGGGCACGAACCCGTGTCCCCTGCATCGGCAAGCGGACTCTCAACCACTGCGCCACCAGTGAAGCCCTCAAATGACAGAATTTTAAGGCTTGTTACAGGGTGTATTTTTTTCTAATTATGCAGGTCTTATTGGAAATAGCTGTGAATGTATTCCACAGAAGACTGTGTATCTATAGTATGTTCAAAATGAATCTTTGCAACTGAATTGTGAAGGATCAATAAAATCAATAAGAGGATTCAGAATTTGATTATTTCAAGTCTCTTAAAATTCTTTATATCTTACTTTTCTAAATTATCTCAATGTGTTTCTAAGTGAGACATTATGGCTATCATCATCACTAATATTCATGGAGTCCTTAATTAGGTATGGGAGATATAAAAAGGTGAAAACATGGTTCATGACCCTGCAGTCCTTATAATCTACTTGGGAAAGAATTGGACATACTCCAGTTGGGGTAAATAATAATAACAAGCAATATATGTTATACCGAGCTTACCCAAACACATTCAATATGTCTGGACTAGAATACAGACACCAAATTACTTTCCACTGAACATATGAAGTGAAAAAAAAAGTAATGAGACTGAATTCTTATCCCCATTTTAAATATACTAATATGCTTATGTATCCAACTGAATAGCCTTTCAAAACAGTAATCTTATTCAAAATACTTTTAGAACTCTTCTTAAATTATTTTCAAAGCAGATTTACTAACTACAGAAAATAGACATGCCCCATTACTTAAGAGTCCATGCTTATCCAACCCAACCCAACCATTCTTTCTCTCTCCTACCCTCATTTCCCTTCCTTTTGCTTTTCATAGCTCCACCTCATTTCTCTTTCCATTATTAATGCAGTAGACCCCAGAGCATCAGAAGACCAAGAACCAACACGCAAGGGCTATGCTGGAGCTGATATGGGGCTGGGAGCTGTTGGACAAACTGAGGCTGGAGACAGAATAGGAATACTATTTTATACTCATCACTGGTGGAAATAAGCCCAAATGAAGTACAGGATAACTTTACAGCATTATTTAAAAGGAAAAATAAAAGCTCTAGATCTTGAAAATGTAAACTCATATTCATATAGTTTTATCATTTTCTACTTACAGTTTTAGAGACACTATTAGAATTTATATGAAAAATGCATTTTTATTTAAAGAGAATTTTTCTTTCTAAAGTTTAAATGTACCAATGTTGAACATATTTACTTCCCAAATATACATTTTAAAGAAAATATAGAATTGTGCTCCACTTACTTCTCCTTCAGGGATACATATGGCTTTGATGGTTCCTTGGGGTTTACTAAGCGCATCTTGAAGAAATCCAACCTCTGTGTTTCTGAACATATCACTGATATCTACAATCTGGAAAATGGATAACAGGAAAAGGTAATTAAACGTGAAGTAATGTTTATCTCAAAACCTTTTTTATTTTTTATATTTATTTTATTTTTTCAAAACCTATTTAAAAATAATTTATTTATTTATTTATTTTTGGCTGCATTTGGCTCTTTGTCGCTGCACGTGGGCCTTCTCTAGTTGCGGCGAGCAGGGGCTACTCTTCATTGTGGTGCAGGGGTTCCAATTGCGGTGGCTTCTCTTATGGCTCGCGGGCTCTAGAGCGCTGGCTCAATAGTTGTGGCTCATGGGCTCTTGAGTGCAGGCTCAGTAACTGTGGTGCACAGGCTTAGTTGCTCTGCGGCATGTGGGATCTTCCCAGACCAGGGATTGAACCTGTGTCCCCTGCATTGGCAGGTGGATTCCCAACCACCGTGCCACCAGGGAAGTCCCTCAAAACCTTTTTACAAACAATATTTTAAAGAGGAAAGTAGGGGGCTTCCCTGGTGGTGCAGTGGTTGCGAGTCCGCCTGCCGATGCAGGGGACACGGGTTCGTGCCCCGGTCCGGGAGGATCCCACATGCCGCGGAGCGGCTGGGCCCGTGAGCCATGGCCGCTGGGCCTGCGCGTCCGGAGCCTGTGCTCCTTAACGGGAGAGGCCACAACAGTGAGAGGCCCATGAGAGGCCCGCGTAAGCAAAAAAAAAAAAAAAAAAAAAAAAAGAGGAAAGTAGATCTTGTTAATGTTTATAGAGCGCATTCACAGAGTGTTTACCATGGGCTGGGCACCATGACAAGTGTTAATGTACTAATTATTCATTAGTAATAATTCATTTCATCTGCACAACAAGAGTATGAGGTAGGCCCTCTTATTATCCCCATTTAATAGATGAGAAAACCAAGGCACAGAGAAAGAAATGACTTGCCCAAGATAACACAGCTAGTAAGTGGCAGAGCCAGAATTTAACTTAAGTAGTCTGACTTAAGAACCACCATTTCATATTACAAAAGAAGAAACAAGGAGTAGTCAAGCTGGCTGCTGTAAATAGGCAGTTAGAACTTTTTTGTGTGCTGTTTTTTTCATTCTGAGAATTGAGCACTGCCTATTCGTGGACCAAGCAGAACTCAGTTTCTAAGGAATCTGCACTGAGAATTGAGATATAGAAATGTCACCAGCATTACAGTGATGAAGGGCTGTTGCTGTCTAAGAGCAAATAATAAGAGGCCTGCTAAGGAAAACTGCTCTGTGTAAGTTCTACTGTACCCTTAGTTAAATATGTGTAGATCTTAACAATGTGAATAAACGTTTCCATATGTTTGAGCTCTTTATAGACCAGGGAAAAAGAATAAATAACTCTTAATCATTTGCCTTCCAAGTGCCATTTTAGCTTAAGAAAAATTCAAGAGGAAAGAACAGGTTTTTTTTTTTTTCCTTTCAAGTTACCATTTGTATCCATGTAACTAATAACTTGTTAGTAATAAAAACATTATAGCAAGAACCTTGCTCTTGGAAATGAATCTTGGAACACAGTAGATAGAGAAAAGGTACTGTAATGCTAACATGCTATTATTCTCTCCTGCTGTAGCTGGGTAACAACAAAAGTAACAAGCTAAGGTAACAACAAAAAATATGATATAACAGTGTGTGTAACTGGTTGTAAACATCAAAGTAGTTCAAAAGACTATAGGGCTATTCGGGGGCAGAGTCTTGGAAACGTGAAGAAAAGTACCTTCATCCCAAAGCGAGTGTCAGGTTTATCAGTTCCATAGCTGGCCAACGCCTCAGCAAAAGTCATAGAAGGAAAAGGAACCACCACAGGATCTTTGTCACTGGGCCATGAATACTGGAGCAAACCCTCAATTAGACTCTGGATGCCAGTCTGTTCTACAAAGGACATCTCTATGTCAATCTGAAACCAAAGCAACATACGGAAACTAATTTGAAGAGCCACAATATTAGTATATACATACATATTTATATATTTTTCTTGTTTTAAATTACCATTGGATTCTGTTCTTAATACATGGGGAAGCAGGTTAAATATTACTGTACATCTAATGCTTTACATACATCAAACTTTTAGTTCCTACAACTATCTCATGGCTTAAGGCTCAGAGAGGCTAAGTGACTTGCCTGATTATGTACGGTTACATTACATTTGATCTTAGGTCTGTCCAACTCCAAATCTTATGGTTTTTGTGCTGATTACTGATTTCTGTGCCATACTAATTAATATGATATCATACAGAAACTAAATCATAATAGCTTTGATGACGCTGACCAGATAAATAGGTTAAATATTAACATACAGAATTGTCTGTTTTAGTGCACAAGAGATTTTTTTTTTTTGCGGTACGCGGGCCTCTCACTGCTGTGGCCTCTCCCGTTGCGGAGCACAGGCTCCAGACGCGCAGGCTCAGCGGCCATGGCTCACGGGCCCAGCCGCTCCGCGGCATGTGGGATCTTCCCGGACCGGGGCACAAACCCGTGTCCCCTGCATCAGCAGGCAGACTTTCAACCACTGCGCCACCAGGGAAGCCCACAAGAGATTTTTTTAAAGAACTTTTTCATATCATGACCATTAAAACACTGTAGGAATCTGTCATTCCTTAGTTTATGACCATATTCTTTATAAGTGGATCAAAAATTAAATAACTAATGCCTCAACTGCAGGTTAGTTTAATTAAATATCTGATAGATAAAATGTAATGAGAAGTATATATAATTTCTATCCTGGTTTTGACATTCTTGGCTGTAGCAAGGCTGAATCAGTAAGAGATGAGTGAATATAACTTAGTACCTGAGTAAATTCGGGCTGTCTGTCTGGTCTTGATCCTTCATCTCGATAACATCGGGCAACCTGAAAATATCTACAATTGGAAAATAGTGTTAATTGAGTCAGGATTCTAGAAACACACACACACTTTCCCCCAAAAGTTCCTGGCAATGCAGGGTACAAAATAATAATGATACTAAAAGGGCATAAGAAATTTTAAAATTCTTTATGATGCTCTAATCTAATCAGATACATAGTTGACCCATGAGAAGCTAACTGCTCAATATATTGTCTTACAAACATACAGTGGCACCTTTGGATATTCATATATTAGACTGACATGCAAGGCAGTCCATACTTCTTTATACACACTCTTTTCCTTCAGCCAAATTGAAATACTCACTGCTCCATGAATACACTTGAGCTTTCCTGTGCTATGCCATTCCAACTCTCATCTTTATCTGCTGAAATGCAGCTCTGTCCCAGAAGGCCTCGTTCCCAAAGTTTTTAATATTTCCCAAAACAATATAATTTCAAACCTCTTAATACAACTAATTTGCAACGCTCAACCTACTTATTTTTGGTTTACATCACAGTTGATTTTAATATCCTATTTTGTCTTACTAGATTCATTAGCTCCTTGAGAGCAAAACCTATTCTTTTTTGTTTTTAACCCCCTACCCCATCTACTAGCATAGAGCTTTGTACACGATGGTCACCCAATAAACCTTTACATAATGACTACACATTTTTAGGGTATTTTACAAGTATTTTCCAAACTCTCATACATTTTCAAACCTTCTTTTAAGAGATTAGACAATTTTGTGTTTCCTTTTCCCCTTTCTTCCCCCTCTTTTCCTTTTCTGACCAGTACTATCATAAAGAAAGCTCACCTGTCTAAACCACCAACCATCAGAAGCTGCTTAAACTGCTGAGGACTCTGAGGGAGAGAATAAAACTTTCCAGGTTCCCTGGATGGTATTACAAACTCTTTTGCACCCTTTGAATGAGAGAGAGGGAGAGCAGAGATATTATTAAAAAGCAAATTCAAGAACTGGTAGAAGTCACTACTTCAGTTCATCAATGAAATCAACTAAAGAGCAAAGTTCCCACAATGACAGATCATTTCTTGCTCATCCCTTAGTCCCCAGAAGGCTTGCACATAGTAGGCTTTAAATATTTGTATATAGCAAGTATTAAATGTATGCTTGTTGAAATGAATGCCCAATTCTGTTACTAGCTAAAAAGGATTTTGTGCGTCAATTCCTATTCAAGTAATTCCAAACTGCTTTTCTAAATTTAAACTATAATTTTATAAGTCCATAGACTATATAAATATCAGTGTTTGAAAATGTCAGTTCTTAATGAACAATGGATTTATTTTTAATGAACCAATTCATTATTGATTTGTAGCTATAAACCTCAATGGAAAGAAAATGATGTAGGATTAAAGGATTCTGACTAAAAGTACTGACCCATATAATTTGCTCAACTCTTAAAATTCCTAGTTAGTGTGAACATCCCAAGGCAGTAAAATAAATAAAAGAAATAGAACTAAGGGAATATAAAAGCAAAGTGGCCCAGTTTCATAACTAACAGGACATTATTAGTAGGCTGATTTAAGGAATATACATACCCCTGGAGTCCTTTTAAATAATGTTGGTGTTTCTATATCCACAAACCCTAAAAAGAGAGAAATATCAGAATTTAATAGATGGGAATTTACCAAATATGATGTCTACAATACAGTCCAACAAATCTGAGGCTACCCTTTAATTAGGAATTTTGACTGAAATAAGCTACGAAGCATATTGATTCTGGTTTCTACAAACCCAAGAGGGAAGCTGAAGATTTTCATAAAATCCTATTCTGTTCATAAAGTTGATAATTTTGTAATGAAATAATTCTGTTTGATAGATTCTGTGTACTGAACTGTTATGGTTTTCCTTGTGTTCTGCTAGTGTAGCAAAAATAACACAAATATAGTAGAAAAAAACCCAGGACTGACTGAAGAGTCTAGTTTCATTCACATAACATTTTTGAGCTCCCAACAAATGATGTACAAGCATGATAAAGAATTAAGAAAACTTACAGATAACAACCAAAGGGCTGGTCCACCTTCAACAGTGATGGTAAATACTTAGACAACATTAACAGGCACTATCACCTTTAAAAGGCTGTATTTATGACCCAGTAGGGAAATAAATTATGTTTTATGTTACTAAATTATGTTCTAGGATAAAACACATGGAAATTACTGTTTCTTCCCTTACCATGTAGATTACAGAGATATTCCCGCATTTTCATGACCATCTGGGACCTCAGTCGCAGGTTATACTGCATTTGGACACCACGCAAATCTAAGTAGCGATACTGCAAACGAAGAGCCTCTGTTTTCTAAACAAATTTAAAGATTTTTATGTTTAAATATTTTTCAAATATTAAAAAGATATTAACTTTAGATACAGATTGTGAATTTTTAAGAACTTCAGCTCTATCTTTAGCTTCCACCATTTGTGCACACACACCACCATCCTTAATTCCTATGACTTCTAGGCTTGTTATTAGCATAGATTTTACATTTTTCAGTGAACCACACTTCACTGACTGAAATTTGCCTACCTTACTAAACATTTATTCATTCCTTTTTTTTCGCCCTTTTTCTTTTTGACCACGTGGCTTGCAGGGTCTCAGTTCCCCGACCAGGGATTAAACCCGGGCCATGGCCATGAAAGCCTGGAATCCTAACCACTAGACCACCAGGGAACTCCCTACCCATTCATTTTTAAGCCTGGAGTTTAATCCTGAAAAAAAAAAAGTAACGATTTCAAAGATCATTAGAAAATATATACCAGGGCCAAAAACAGCCATGACTTTATGACCTGGATGGGACGACAAGTTTAAGAAATGCAAGCGGACAGCAGACGACTCTCTACAGCTGTACTAGTAGGAACATAGTGATAAGGTCTGCTTATTTTCAAGGCTGGAACTCTCTGCATCCCTCCTGTGCTGACAACCTTTTCCCCTGGAATAGTTTATTTCTTTGATACTACAAATAGAAATAGAATAACTACCTGTCATTTCTCTTTCTAAAAGCTTAGAGCTGGTGGAAAACTGCATATTTCCTTTTTTTCCCCACAACAAGGTCAACTCTGTAATTATACTGCTTTTTCTAATTAAAATATTAAGTACTGGGAACTCAATTGTAAGACTAAGTGGCCATGCAATTTAAAAAATCCTTTATAGATTAGTTTATAAATTAGGTATATATAAGTCTACAACTGTAGACAGTTGCGATAAAGCTGAAAATTAGCTGGGCTTACATATCCAGTGCTGTCTAGCTTCCTCAAAGAACATCCTAAATTACAGTAATCATATTTATATGCCTTATAAACATTTTATCGCTGTTAGAGGCTTAAACTTAATATATGCAGGATCTCCTACGCCATGTGGCCATTTCTAAGGTAAACATAAATTTCCTCTCAAAATGTAAAACCACAACAACAAAAAAAAATGGAACAAAATAACACCTAAGTCTTAAAGACAACCTTGTTTCCAGCTGTCTGAAAAAACATTCTAGGTGTTCAGGAGCTGCAACAGCTTAAAGAACTGTTGATATTTAAGAACAGTTCACCAGGAAATTGTAAAACTAGCAGAATAATTCATGATATAGCTATAACATGCTTAATTTTGTAGAAGTTAAACTTTTTCTTTAAAAAATCTGAAAACACTTTACTGGTTATCAACATTTTCTAGATACTCTAGTTTATTAGTAACAGGATGGCACCTTCACAAAGTCCTTAATTTCAAAGGGCAGCTTCTTGCAGGAATTCAGAAGTTTAGCTGTTTTAACTTTGATTTCAATCTCACCTGTTGGCATTTTCTTAAAGAGAGAAAGAGAGAAAAGACCTATTTTAAAAATCACTCATCAGGACATGTACACAATGAATATTTATAAAACACAAGCATTTATTTACATATGTAAAACACGGGGTGCTTATAGTGTATAGTCTAAAACATAAATGTCTGTATACGACTTTGACATTCTTATGTATATCTGTGGTTGATGAGCTCATTACCAAATGTTTTAACATGCATATTTACATAGGTGTTTATGTTTGCAGTGAAGATTTTAAAATCTGTAGGTTCATTTGTAGAACCTGCAGAGCTTTGGTGCTGGATGGATATCTGATACTCAGTTGCTGTTGCCTGAATGTGTTGACAGACAGTGCACATGTACACAGGTAAAATTTAAATGGACAGTTTCTAAATTACTAACTGGATTCTCTTGTCCTGGAGGTCGAGAAATTACTGTCCCAGACACTTGCACCACAGATTCCATGGGGGCTTCACATAAAATCTTCTTCACAGAAGCAGCCGACTATAGAATAAGAGGGGAAAATAGTTCCAACAAATAAATGAACTTAAAGGACTCTGCAGCAACTGTAGATTATGGCTTAGAAAAATGTTAACACTCATAGCTTAATTGCAATAAATACTGGGGCTTCTCTTAATGACTTTATTAAAGACTTTGGTAAACTGCATCCCCATTTTGACTCCGTATAATATAGCAAGTAAAACTATTAGTTAAGAATTAAAAATTTTTTTCCTTAAAGGAAAATAAGGAGAAGAATGATTAATGCAAACAATTCCCACATAATTTAAGGCAACTGTCTCCAGGGTTAGCCTTAGGGGCAGTTAAATCCAAGAGCAATAATGGAGTCCAAAGTGAAGGAGTTCTCCTGGGTTAGCTATGCTCATCTCTGCATCCTGATCCCTAAAAGATAACCCATGGCTCTTTACTTACTTCAAACATTAAAAGCAGAGTAAATCTTATTTTTCTCAGGTGTACAAACATTTGTAAATATTACCAAAATAGAAACCAACGATGTTCAGCAACATGATGAGAGTTCTTTATTTTATCTGAATTTAATGGTAATTATTTTTTGAGCAGGTAGTACCTTCACATGGCTCAAATTCAAAGGGTATAAACAGATCTACAGTGAAAAGTCTCTCTCCAGCTCCTTAATTCCCCTCTCCAGAGATACCCAATGTTATGTGTCCTTCCAGGGACAGTTCATAACATACACACATACACATGCCCTTTTTAGTATAGATAGTACCACTCTACATGCTCTTCTGTATCCTGTTTTTATATCTAACAATATACCTTGGATTTTTTTCCCATATTAGTACATAATAAGCTTCTTCAGTCTTTTCCATAGCTGTAAGGATGTACATTATTTTTTACACCAGTCTCTTATTGGGGAACATCTAGATTGTTCTTTCTTTTTAAAAAAATTTATTTATTTATTTATTTTTGGCTGTGTTGGGTCTTTGTTGCTGCATGCGGGCTTTCTCTAGTTGCGGCGAGCAGGGGCTACTCTTCGCTGCAATGCGCGGGCTTCTCATTGCAGTGGCTTCTCTTATTGTGGAGTACAGGCTCTAGGCACGCAGGCTTCAGTAGTTGCAGCATGCGGACTCAGTAGTTGTGGCTCACAGGCTCTAGAGCACAGGCTCAGTAGTTGTGGCACACGGGCTTAGTTGCTCCGCGGCATGTGGGATCTTCCCGGACCAGGGATCGAACCCGTGTCCCCTGCATTGGCAGGCGGATTCTCAACCACTGCACCACCGGGGAAGCCCTAGATGGTTCTTTCGAGTAAAAATATTTCAGCAGTGAATAACCTTGTATTTGTGTCATTTAGCATCTATGTAAGTCTACATGTAAGATAGCTTTAAGATCATTGACTACAAGTGGAATGAATGGTTCAAAGGATATATGCATTTATAATTTTGATATTGCCAAACTGCCATCCATAGAGCTAGTGCCAAGTTATACTCCCTCCAGGAATGTATGAGCACTTGTTTCCCCAAACACAGTGTGTTGTCAATCCAGTGCATAAAAAATAACAATTCTGTGTAGCTTTAATTCATATTTCTCTGCTTATGAGTGAAGTTGGGCATATTTTCATATGTCTACAGACATATAGAAAAATAGCCATTTATATATTTTTTCTATAAATTTTATGTTCATATTCTGCACTGGTTTTTTTTTTTAATTTTAATTGATTTGTAGTAGCCTTTTAGATATTAGAGAAATTAGCCCTTTGTCTGTGACATGAATTGCACATATTTTTTCGCAGTTTGTCATTTGTCTTAATGTGGCTTATGGTAGTTCTAATTTTCATTAACAATAAACTGCTTTTTTTTTTTTTTCGCGATTCGCGGGCCTCTCACTGTTGTGGCCTCTCCCGTTGCGGAGCACAGGCTCCGGATGCGCAGGCTCAGCAGCCATGGCTCACGGGCCCAGCCGCTCCGCGGCATGTGGTATCTTCCCGGATCAGGGCACGAACCCGTGTCCCCTGCATCGGCAGGCGGACTCTCAACCACTGCGCCACCAGGGAAGCCCATAACAATAAACTTCTTAATTTGAAATCTCAAACATACTTATCCAACATGCTTCATTTATTCTAACCACAGCATCAAAGAGGCTTGGAGATAACAGGAGGAAACTTCTATTACCTCATCCTGAGGAATGATAACTTGAACAAGCCCATGGAAATCTCTTAGGACCAGGAAGATGTTTTGCCTGATTAATGAAGAAAGTGAACATATTAGGATAAAATCTTTGAGACCAAAATTTATGCAGGCAAAACAAATAAAAAACCCATGCAATTTCACATGTTGCTTTTTTATAATAATATGCATTCATAGTTATATTTGTGTAATTATCTTGTAGCTTATTAATGAAAAACTTTTTCGTTTACAATTTCAACTTTTAGTAGCTATATGTACAGCTTACTAATGCTATCCAGATGGCTTATTAATGAAAAGGCAGATTTTAAAACTTAAAAAATTTTATTGGCTTAAGTCTTTATAAGAAATTTGAATTAAAATTGGAAACTTTCCATATATTAACATCCAAAGGTAATATTTTAGCATATTAGAGACATCTGATTGGTCATTTTTTAAAATATGGCAATATAAAATCTTTTATTTTCCTAAAAATAAGATGTAATCTAAAATTTTCTAAAAGAGGTCCAGTACTAACTTAATGCCTCTATAAGCCATCAAAAGGTCCCCCAAATCCCAATATTTTAGCATTCAACCAACATTTCTCATACAGTTCTTAGTACCAAGAAGAGGTACAGAAAGCCTCCTCAGATTTTCCTTCAGGAGATAAAAGTCACCAAATGTATGGGTCAAATATCCACCCATTTGGGACATATTCTTTAGGAAAATCAGTCAATCTATGTATTTTGGATCTCTTCATTGTGAATTAATGTTCCATTCAGGTATGTTCTGGAATATAGAGATGAACAACAACAATAATATGTCCTCTAACATTAAGGAATCATTGTTCATGTTTTTAGACTTTTTCTCTACCTAAATTTAGCAAAAACTATGTTTTATGCTATGGAAGCTTACCAGCTTACCCAATTACTGGTCCCAGGAACTCTTCAATCTTAGTAAACCTAGGGACATTTCTGTCCCTTGGTGGATCACACTTATTATACCCTTCAACAGATGTTACTGGTACTTACTGAGAGTGACACTATTTGAGTCTTTCAAAACAAAAAAACTGAAAATTCAATGACTTCTGAGACTCCTACAGGAGTTGCAAAGCTTTTATTCTTCTGACTGGTTAAAAATTAATAGCAGTTTAAAATTGCCTTAGGAAAACCACCATCATGCATACCACCTGCCTCTATCTACCTTCGGTACTGAATCCATCCACACAAGGTGACTTCTTGGCCTAAGTGAGAAGAACGCAACTCTCCACACGTGTTGGTCCGGGCAACAAAGCTACTGAGTTCTTAAAGAAACGAAAAAAAGTAAGATTAAAAATATATCATTTGCACATTGTTTGAGAATAGACTCTCAAATCATACCATCTTTTTTCATGTCAATGGATGAAATTTATAAAGTTGAAGAATGTAATCAATCACTTAAATTTACCTGCAAATGTGTCAAAAGCCATGTGAATAACTGTCTTAATGTAAATTTTTGCCTGTGTTAAGAATATAAATATTTTTGATCACCCAGCATCTGCATTAACCTAAAACGCACTGTTCTTAATAGTGCACATTTCTTCCCCAAATGAAATAGGATCTTGGGAATTTCATAAATTTGATGGTGCAGTAACTGGTTGTAGTATGAATCTAGAGTGAAATAGTCACTTGTACATTTGAAAACTCTCAAGTATGAAAGAATTTTTTAGGCTTCTTATTCACAGCATGAGCTTAATTAATAGCCTATTCATGTGGTTACTTTTCTGCTCTTTTTAAATTCCAGGGAGAAAACTACATTATAAGAAATGAAGAGGGTGAATGATGTACTTCTACACATAAAGCTATCCAGTCGAGACTAGGGGAAAAATGGAATAAGCACTCTTGCTGCAGAGAAAGGGAGGAAAGGCTGGGCTGTTCAGAGGACAAACCTCTTCACTACATTCACCTGGAATTCTCCTCTGTGAACTCAGTACCAGACTTCGGGAGAAAGAACCCCCGATCAGCTGTGTGGTCCTTCTAGTGGGTCTGGATAAACTCCTGTACAGCCGACTTAACCAACAGAACATGTTAGAGCCGCAGGATGGCGAGACGCTCAGGAATCTCACGCTGCAGGTGTTGGATGGCGGTCAAAAGTCAGTTTTGGAAATACACACAAATCCCTTAAAATGTTAGGAGTTCCCACTCTCTTATATTTAAGCCCTTGTCCGCTGAACATTCAAGAGCTCGTGTCGGCAAACTAGATAAATCTGCAGTCTTTGGGGCCTTTGGGGAAGTTGGGTAGGGGAAGGACCTTTTAAAATCTTTGTCCCCTCTCAACGCATCCGTTTCACTTCTATTAACAAACAAAGCTTCGGCCTGAAGTGACAAGCGTACGATTCCATACAGCAGCCAAGGCGGGACACCGCGGCCGCGCAGAGGCAGCACGGGGTCGGTCAGCAGGCGCACGCCCTTCCCATCCTTCCACGCTTCCCCGAAGGTTCCCGCGGGCAGAACCGGAAAACAGGGAGGAAAATCAGCCCCGCGTTTCAAATCTCCCAAACCTGGTGGCCGACCTCGGGTCTTCAGAAGGAGGAATGCAAGCAAATCCAAAATGTTTCTAGGTCCCGAAACCACACACAGATCGTCGCTGGGAGCCAAGCGCTCCTTAACCCACCCCAAGAACAGCCAAGATTACGGTGGAGGGAGTCAACCAGTCAGAACAGAGGGAATGCCGCCATCTTTACTACGGGCGGAAGTTTGAAGGACCGCTGAGCCCCGGTAGAAAAGCGCGGAAAATTAACACCCCGCGATTAGGAAAGTAGACTTTAATGGTTAGAGCGCTCCCGTGCCCTCAGTTAAAATGGCAACCGTAGTTGCTTCACTGACTTGGAATCGGCGCCGTGGAGGCGCCCAGCGTCCTGCCGCAGAGCGAGTCGGGAAACGATTTTAAACTGAGGAGGCGGCTGAAAGCAAACTTGCTTCTTCTCAACGGCGGAATTTTGGAGCTGGCGTTGGCTCCTGAGGCCTCAGGTGGAGAGGGGCGAGTTGGGATACACTGTCCCTTGCCCTTTCCCTCCTTGGGCTGAAGCAGACTCCGCGGGAGCGAGGGTCGCGGAGCTGGGTGGCTGAGTCAGCGGAAATGTCCCTCCAGGCGTGAAGTGTCGGGCTCGGCTGGCGCTTGCGGGAGCTGAGGTCTCCTTACTGGGCCCGTTTGCGTCCGTCGTGAACCCACCTGTGGTGGAGCGAGAGGGAATTTGGGAGCGCCTGGGTTTCCTCCGGACTTACTCTTCGTTGTCATTTTGGCGGCTGTTTTACTTCAGGGGATTTCAGTTTCGACGTAGTTTTGGATCCAGACTTGAAGAATGATTCGTGAAGGGAATGGTTGACAGCGTCATCACGGCATTTTATTGGTAAGATGCTTTGTTATTGGTCCAGGCGTGGCAGTAAACTTTGTGTTTTGCCCTGTTGTGTGGTCGTTATCGTTACAATACTTGGGGGTTCAGATGCGTTTCACACGACCTGCTTAGCATTGGCGTTAGGTGACGATGTACAAAAGTGATTTAAGTCAGGGTCCCTTCCTTCACGGACTTAGCATAAGAAAAACAACTGAGTTGTAATTGTGTGTTCTAAACTGCAAGTGCAAGAGGAATTGGCCGGAGAGCTAGCTGTGGATACTTGGAAGCTTCTCCTGAGATGAAACTTGAAGGATAGATTGGATTTGGTCAGACAAATGGGTCTAGAGAAGTAGTCTTAATTGGCAATAGGTTGAATAAAAAAGTCCGGAAGCAGAGGCAAACATGACAGGCATGAAGAGCAGGAGGGTGATGAGCAGCCGAGGGGAAGGGGGGCATGTTTGGGTGTAGGGCAGTGGCTCTTAACCGTTTAAAGAATCATCTCCTGGACCTTTCTTCACCCTCTTCTCTCACCAAATACACACACATACACCATTTTGCATTCAACCTTAGAGGGCTTTTAGATTTTGGAAAGACCCTTTGTCCGTGGATCTTGGGGTAAGAACTGAAGTAGTAGAAAATGAACCTGGATAGGATCAGATAATATGATCACGTGCCTTGAAATCCAGGCAGAGGTTTTGGCTTCATTTATTTAGAAGATGTGTGGGAATTGTTATGGGATCTCAAGCAAGGTAATGACAAGATAAAAGTGGTGTCTGTGGAGAAACTAGTCATGGATTGGGGAAAGGGGTTAAGACTGGGAATAAGATAAGTGGCTATAATTAAGAATGCAAGTGAAGGCCAAATCTGAGAGGGCTAGTATGTATGCTTTCAAGAAATATGTCAGAATTTGTTGCTAATTCGGATGTAAACATGAAGTTGAGGGAAGAGTAAAAGATGACTAAGTATTTTAAGGGGCAGGAAGGAAAATGAGAAGGAAGAGTGGAATTATTACTGAGAAACAGGGTAGTTGGAAAGGAAAGATTGGTTGTGAAATAATGTTTAGCTTTGAACTTAATGAGTTTGAGGACAAAAATGTTTAATGTTTTACAGGAAATTGGAAATGCAGGTGCAAAGGTCTGAAAATAGAGATTTAGGAGTCATATGTAGAATGAATGTTATATGGAGAATGAGTGATTTCAGAGTGTGAGGAGACATGCACTGTTGGGACTGGAGGAAGGATAGGAATCAGCAAATGAATCAGAAGGAACCATAAGAAACAAGGAGGAGAAATAATTGAGTGTCTGAAAAAAACAAGGTAACAGAAAGTTTAGAGGAGTAAGAATGAGCAAACTTGATGAACCAAGTATTTGGACATGGTTTTCACAAAAATATTATTGGTAATCTTCAAAAGTGCCATGTCTTTATAGTGATGGATTCATAAGAGAGGTTGCTGAAGATTTCCAAAAAAATATTTATTAGTAAGTGGAGGCAATAGTTGTATACCGTATTTCCAGGAAATTGGTCTCAAAACGGATGAGACAAGTAGGATTTAAACAAAACATTTTTAGTGTTAGGAATACAAGAATATGCATGGCAGTGGAAGAAAAGTATCCTGTGAAGTAGAGATTAGAGATGATAGAGGTTTGAAATAAACATGGGAGATGGTGCCCAAGGGAAATGTGAATGGGCATGGAGATCTAGAATACTGGTTGATGGATTGGCTTTAGAAAGCAAGTAAGAGGACCTCTTTCCTTACAGTTGGAAGGAAGAATATTGGGGCAGTAAAATATTAAGTCAAGCTATATTTTTAATCTCTTAATTATCTGGCAGGGCAAAATTACACATTACTGAGTATGGAGTGAGAAAGTAAAATAGGTATAAACCATCTTCTAATCTTTAATGCATGGATTGGGCTATTTCACATTACTGCAGTATTAAATTAATCAAGGGAAATGTTTTCTCAATACCAGTCCTTTCAGAGCTAGTAGTCTTTCTCTCACCTAGATAGACTTTAAAATCCTTTTGGAATTCATAGAATTTCTCTTTTAAGGAGTCAAACTTAGTAGGGTTTATTTTGCCTTGAAATTGATCCCTATTGAAAGGCAGTGTGCAAGAAGGAGGTAAGAGCACCCACTCTGGTGTTAGACTGTCTCGATTCAAATTCTGGCTCTGGCATTTTTATCTGTATGACTTTGGCAAGTTATTTAATTTCTTTATCTTCCTGTCTGTCAACTGGGAATATAATAACCCACCTCATACAGTTGTTTGAGGATTAAATGAGACAATATTTGTTAAAGGGCTTAGAAAGTTACCTGGCACATGATGAATACTCAATAAATGTTAGCAATTATTCCAAATAACAGATTTGAAAGAAACATTCAATGTAGATGGGACTGATTAAAATTCCATTTTGAATGCACAATTCTGTATGCATTTAAAGCCAGACTGCTTTAGAGTAGCTGCTATTTAAGTTGTATGGTATATGATCTTTCTCTGGGCGTTATCTGAGTTTTGAGAACTATATATTTAATTTATGGAGTTTTGTGCAAGGGATACAGTGTGTCATACTTTGACATGATGAAATTTAAATATAGGGCTTCCCTGGTGGCGCAGTGGTTGGGAATCTGCCTGCCAATGCACGGGACACGGGTTCGAGCCCTGGTCTGGGAAGATCCCACATGCCGCGGAGCAACTGGGCCCATGAGCCACAACTACTGAGCCTGCGCGTCTGGAGCCCGTGCTCAGCAACAAGAGAGGCCGCGATAGTGAGAGGCCCGCGCACCGCGATGAAGAGTGGCCCCCG